TCTTTATTCTACCTGGTTTCCTGAAAGACACCAGGTTTCAAAGGTGACTAATAATGACAAAACCACGATTTTGCATTGCAAGGGTTGCATCCTACAGAGCTTTGGGGAAGCCAGGGAAGTCACCACTACCCTAGCAATCAGCTCTGCTGACCTTGGCAGTTGGGGCCCTAGTGATCATCTTAGTTTTGTGGCCTATTTTACAGATGAAACATTGTGGTCCAGAGAAGGAAAATGATTTAGTCAAGGTCAAGCTCCCTCTCTCTGGCTCCTAGCTCCAGCTTCCTGCTAACGTAGCTCCTGGGAGAAAGCAGATATTGTTTCAAAGAATTGGGTCCCTGTTGGGACACCTGGATTGAGTTCCTTGCTTCTGCTGGATCCAGCCCTGGTTTCATGGGCTTTGGGGGAGTAGACCAGCAGACGGATGCTCACTGTATCCATCTGTTTCTCCCTCATGGTCTCTTTCTCTCCAATAAATTGATACAAATCACAAAACAAAATGAAAACCTCACCAATGAGTTACTTTTCTTGACTGGTTAAAAAATACAGATGTTTTAAAACAAAACAGAACAAAACAAACAATATAGAGGTACACAGAGGAAAGTGATTCTCCCTCCCACTGCAGTCCCTCTCCTTAGAGGCTGTCACTGCCTCTTGTACATCTTTGCAGAGATGGTCCACAGATATAGAGCACTGTGCTAGTCTTTAGGCAACTGTAACTTAAAGAAAGATCATTTTATAGAGAGGTATATATCGATGAATCCATATGTATCTCCACAAATAACTCTAAGGAGGAACTGACAAGAATCGGTGACAGATGGGCTAAAGGAGTAGAGATACAATTGTGGCACCAAAGACTTGCCAGTTCAGTGGTGTGACCATGTAGCTGGCTCTTGGTGCTCTGAAGCGTCAAGTGTGGAAGTGTTGTTCTGAGTACGTAGGTGAAAACACGGCTTACACAGGCTGGTAGCCTTTCAGGTTTCTGGAGTAGGAGCAGCCATTTATCAAGCAAGCCTTGCTAACAGTCCCTTCAACGTGTCAATCTTTTTCTATGAACACATTCGTTGCTTTCCTGGGGACAGTGACCCCGTTCTTACCCTAGTTTACACAAGAAGATTTAAGTGACTGCTTTGAAGTCACAGACCTTCCATGAGAAAGATGCTGTGTATAAACACAGGCATGACTCATAGGTTCTTGGGCGCGTCTGAACTGGGACGGGGAACATTAGTGGATTGTTTTGCCCATCACAACTTTGAGGGTGCTGCTGGTATCCAGTTGGCAGAGTTTAGTGGTGTTTCTGGACATCCTGCCGTACACAGGAGGGCCCCACGCAGATCATCCAGCCCCAAATGTCAACAGCACTAAAGCTTGAGCAACAGGCCTGACAATAAAGCACATGGCGCTAAACTTCAGTGACAGACCCTCCACATCCTTTTCTTTATTTCTGTTTGCAAATATTAGGATGTAGTTCTTCTTCTTCACCTGCTCTTAGATTGATGTGCTTCAAAGAATTCACAATGTCTTCTGACTTACACTTGTGACTCACAGTTGACATGCTACTTTTTTCTTGTACTGCAACAAATCTAAAACTAAATCTAAGCAAGACCTCTGTTAGGGGGCACCACCAAAAATCCACTTGTTTGCCCTGTCAGTCTGGGGAACCACCGTTCAGATGCACTTCTCTTGCTTTTAAAGCCTTTCCTTATTATCATTCTTATTATTTCAGAGTGAAGAGAGCAAAATGCACCAAATCATCCTTTTGCTGGAAACTGGCAAGGTCCTAGTTCCTTCGTGCTTCTGCTTCAATTCCTTCTTCTTTTAGGGCTCATAGTTGCTTAGAAACCTTCTCAAAACCCTAAAAGTCACTTGATGAGGCCAGTTAACCAAAACCACAAACAACTCCTTTGGGCAAGGACCAGGCGACCCTGAGCAGCCACAGGCTGCTAAGCAAACAGTCTTTGCTCCCTAGTTTTGTCCCTAATTGTTGGGGAGGACAATTGCATTCTTGTGGCCGTGTGTGTGGCAGTCTGACTTAATTCAGGGGAGAGAACAAATGAGATTCTTCCATAGATATTAAAAGTGCTTGTGTTGTAAATAAGAATGCCATCCTCTCTTTTCACAGAAAGCACTTTCATTAAGAGGTAGATTTTAACTTCAGTACATCTGCATTAATTCATTTGGGTAGTGGTGGTGGTGGGGACATTTGGTGATGACTTTTTTTTTTCATTTTTCATGAGCTTGTCAGGCATTTCAATCAGGTAGCTGAACTCTCCCCTTCCCTAGGAGCCTTGAAAGACACTTCTCTGTCACACTGCAATCAGACACGTTCCCTGTGACCACGCATGTATCAGCAGGTGGGGACTACATTTACCAGCTTGACAGACATGGAGGAAAAAGACTTTTTCATAGTCCAAGGAACCAAAGTGATTCCGTTTCTTCCTAAATATTTTTCGAAGCACTCTTACCGTCACACACAGGGGGCACTCTGTTAGTTAAAGCCTGGAGCAGCTGCCATCCTGAGCATCCTGTCAGGCCTGGGTCCAAAGTCCTGCCAAACAGCAATTGTTTCAGATTCCTGTCCACAATCTGTTTCTTTTTGCTAAGATATTCATACAAAGAATCACTTTGAGAGATAGTGGAAAACCAGCCAGGGGCTCAGGAAAGTGTCTGGGCTCAGCTCTCCTTCCAGGTCCTGGGTTCCACTCTGCTGCTCTGATGCATGTTGAAAAGTAGCGAGGAGGGAAGGGCGTGGGGGGCAGAAGGGTGGCAGGTGAGCTGTGCATTAGGAGGCTGGTAGTCTACCTCCAGCCCTGGCTGGACAAGCATCAGCTTCCCGAACCTCAGGGAACCTGCTGGAGAGTCCTCCCACCCCATGGCTTTGATCCTGAATCCCAGTGGAGAGGGCTCCCCCGTCCTTTGATACCAGTCATGACAGCAGAAACTGTCACCTGGGCCCCAAAATGTTCCTTTCCTCTGCTTAAGACAGCCTTTCATAAAAGATGGCAATTGATCCATTAATACAGCCCGTATGTGTTTTTCGAGTGCTTACCCTGAAAGTCAAGGTCTTTTGTAGAGTTCCTATCTGAAGATGGGGAGATGGACAGCAATCACACACAATGTAGATTCAGGCGGACAATGGGTCTGCAAGCCTATTTCAGGAAGGCATGACATGCAGTGTCTAGAATGCAAGCTGGAGAATCCAGTGTCTTGGGCACTTCCTAAGCCCTTCTCTGTAACCTGTGTAACGCCCTGGGGTTTTGCTCTCCCCCTGCTCTGGTGTGGGCTTGGGGACATTACCTGACACAAGAGAGTTAACTGAGATCCGTCTCTCAGCGGTTGGGCAAATGCTTCCAGATTGTCTGCTGCATGCTAGGCACTGCTCTGAGCTTCCGTGAGGAGGTGATTTTAGAAGAAGCAGGCTTAGTGGGTATGTTGCAAGCACAGAATAAATGTCAGCTATCATTAGCTCTCACACACCGAGGCTGCAGTTTGTAGGATTCGCAAAGCAGCGGTGGGCGTGGGTTGCCAGTCATGACAGACATACCGCACACTGTCCTATTTTGGGGATCCTATTCTAACGAGCCGATGAAACAGTGGCACACCTTTCTTCAGGTGGGGATGGCACAGAAGACACTTCTCAATACAGGGGCTGTCACAGTCCTGGACCAAGCTTTCAACAAGGCTCCGAATGTGTTTGCAAGTCCTCTCCAAATGCCTAAAGGCAGTCACCCAAACAAATTCCAGTCAGTCCTCCCACAAGGTTGCAATAAAGGGGACCCCATATATGGCTCAACTCACAGGTTCTGCGAAATCCCCTCCTCTCCTCCCAAGCCCTTGGCTGCAGCCAAATGGAGAGGAGGGAGGTGAACGGATTGCTTCCTTGCAAATCGCCCAGCCCACTGTGAAGTGTATACTTAGTTAATGTAATTAAAAACACACAAAAACACCAAACGCCTGGGCGTGTGGAGAGCTAAATTTGGTGCAGCAGCTTTGGTGCAAATTCTGTTTTGGGGGCTCCCAGAGTCAAATTCAAGCCGAGAGGAAGAAGTGGGAGAAATGAGAGAGGGCCGACGGATTGCTGGAATCTGCTAGGGGAGAGACAGCAGATTTGGAAACGGACAGAGGAGACCAGAGGCTGCAAACCCTGCAAGCGGTGCCGAGCTCCGCGGCGCCCGGCGAGGAGCTCCGGGTGAGGGCACCCTCTTTGGGGACAGGGATCCCGCTGGCTCCGGGGACAGAAACGCGGGGTTCCAAATCCAGGAGGGCGACTGAGGTGGGGTGCCCGGGCCTTGCGCTGCGCCAGATTGGGGTGTGCCCTGCCGTGGAGCTCGCTGCGGGGGCGACGGAGCGGCAGGTGCCGAGGGCTGGGGGAGTTTGAAGGAAAGACCTTCCGGGACGTGTAGACACCTGGGCTCCGTCCGCTGCCCCAGCCCGACCCGGGAAGCTTCTTCGGTTACTTCACCCCCAGCCGCACTCCCCCGGGGGCTTCCCTCCCTCCCCCTGCAAAAGGGCTCGCCACTCCACCTTTCTGGCTCTGTCTGGGTCCTCGCTCTTGGCCCGGGTCGTGAGCGAGGCTGAGAAGGGCGCAGCTGGGGGCGCCAGGGGCAGGGCGCTGCGGAGACTGCGCCCGAGCTCTCACGGAGTCAAAGCCATCTAGTGAGCCGGGGCCTCTCGGAGTCACCCCTTCTTCCTTGCTGGGCAGATGCCGGCCGCGAGCTCCTGCGCACGCACCCTTGGAAAAAGCCGCGGGCGGAGCCGCCTCTGCGCCCTGGACAGGTCTGAGCCGCGCCTCCCGACCACAGAGGGCGCGGGAGGTCCCGCCGGCGTCCTCCACCTGACGGGAAAGCCAAGCCTTTCCCTCAGGGCTCGGCGGCGGCCCAGCTCGCTCCTCCCCGCCCGCCCCAGTCACCTCTCCCCGCGCCCCCGCCCCTCTCCTGCCGGCGCCCGCCCCGCGCCTCCTCAGCCCGCCCCCTCCCCCGCCCGCCCGCCCTCCCTTCATTCCACAAGTGTCGCTTCGCTCTCTCCGGCGCACTTGGCGAGCCGCTGAGGTGAGCGGCCGCGGCGCGGCGAGTCCGGAGCGGGCGGCTGAGGGGAGGCGCGGACACACCGACGCTCCCCGCTCCTCCGCCCGCGTCTCCCCCTCGTGTCCGCCGGACCTGCACCCCACGCTTGCCCCCCGCTCTCGTCCTCCCCCCCGCACCCGGCCCCGCGCGCTCCTCCCCGGCCGGCCCCTCGGCGCGCGGCGCGCTGGAGGCGAACGCGGGCTGAGCCGAGCGCAGTGGCCGCCGACCCCGCCGAGCACCCCGCGCCGCTCCCTGCATGTGCGGCCCGCGGTGGCTCGCAGCCCCCGGCAGCAGCCTCGGCAGCTTCGGCCGCGCCTCGAGAGGCGGCTGCAGCGGCGGCTCCAGTGGCGGCCGAGCGGCCGAGCCCGGGCTGGGAGACAGGATGCGCCGCGTCCTCCGGCTGCTCCTCGGCTGCTTCCTCACCGAGCTGTGCGCCCGCGTGTGCCGGGCGCAGGAGCGAGCGGGGCACGGGCAGCTGGCGCAACTGGGCGGCGTGCTGCTGCTGACCGGGGGCAACCGCTCCGGGGCCGCCTCAGGAGAGGTCGGCGAAGGCGCGGGGGTCTCGGACGCGCCCCCGACCCGGGCGCCCACGCCAGACTTCTGCCGCGGCTACTTCGATGTCATGGGCCAGTGGGACCCGCCGTTCAACTGCAGCTCGGGCGACTTCATCTTCTGCTGCGGGACTTGTGGCTTCCGGTTCTGCTGCACGTTTAAGAAGCGGCGGCTGAACCAAAGCACCTGCACCAACTACGACACGCCGCTCTGGCTCAACACGGGCAAGCCCCCCGCGCGCAAGGACGACCCCCTGCACGACCCCACCAAGGACAAGACCAACCTCATCGTCTACATCATCTGCGGGGTGGTGGCCGTCATGGTGCTGGTGGGCATCTTCACCAAGCTGGGGCTGGAGAAAGCGCACCGGCCCCAGAGGGAGCACATGTCCAGGTGGGCTGCCTCCCCTCCGCCCTCCCCTGCGGGCTTCGCTCTCCCCTCTCTCCCCTCCCCGCCGTCTCCCGGGCCCTGGCGCGGCCCCCTGGGCTCTGCGCGGGGGGCCGACTCCCCGGAAGCCCACTTGGGCGGGCGGCGCGGCGACGGGGCGCGGGGCTCGGTGCAGGTGTAGGGTGTGAGTGTGACCTCGGCCCCCTCGCCCGGCCGCCCACCACCGAGGAGGACTTGAGCCCCGCGGTCCCCGGAGCTCCTGGCCCCCCGAGTCTCGGGTTTGGGGGTGTGTTGTGGGGGGGTGGTCCTCGATACCCTTCGGGTTCCTGTAGGTAAACAGGGGCGGGCGAGCCCCGGAGGGAAGGGGGGCGTGTGCGAGCCCGCGCGCGCGTGTGTGAGCGAGGGAGGGAGGGGGAGGAGTGAGTGCTGCCTGCACCTCGTACTCGCCTCCCAGAGGGAGTTGGGGTGTGTGTGTGTGCTGCGGGGGGCGGGGGGTGTTGAGAACAAAAGCCCAGCTTAGGGCGACCGCCTTTGGCCGCCCGCAGCTCTCAGGTCCTCAGAACCGCAGCTGCCCCTGCCGCCCTCCAGGCACCCTTCTGCCGTTGTCCCCTGTCCCTGCTTGGGACGGTGACGCGGACCGCGTCCTCCCCGTTCTGGCTGGTGTGGCCTCCAAGGGCCTGACTCCCCCCTTCCTCGCGCGCCGCCGCCTTCACCCGGCTGGCACCCTGATTCGTCAACTTTGCCTGTGCCCGATTCATTATGCAAGTACCAGCTCTGCAAGGCGCAGCAGATGGGAGAAGGCATTTGGGGATTAATGAAGCTATTTGCCTTTTGCGTGTGTGTCTAAATCGCTCCACACAACTCAGTAACTTTGGAGGCAGAGGATGCAGCCGAGAACTTGGAACCCTCGGCCCGGGGTGGGTGCGGGGAGGCCAGAGGTTGCTGTGCGGTCGAGGGCGCGGGGTTAATAGAATGCACAAGTCACTCCTCCCGCCCCCCACCACGGCTGCAGGCTCAACATTTAACTGTCCCTTTTCAGAGTCTGGGCTTCTTAAGTCGCTATCCTCCTCCCGCCCCTCCAACACGCCGCCTGGGGGTCTGTGTGCGCGCGTGTTGGTGCACGCGCTCCGTGTGTCTGCTGCCTACAAGATCTGAACAAAGAGACCCACCAAAAATAGGCGAAGGAACATCACCACCACCTCACTAGTAATTATTTTCTATTTATACACGGAGTATCCGATGCTCCCCCCATCCTTCTCCAGAGGGGGATAGTGGCGGTGCCGGTGGGGTAAGAGGTGAAGTTCTGGGTTCGGGTAGTAAGGGAGGTGTGAGTGGATGGTCAGGTCCTCGGGTACTGGGAAAGCAGCTGGGGGTGGGAGGGTGGCATCCAGGAAGCCCAGCTAGGAACAGAGTCAGCCCTGGTCCCGCCCACCGCTTGCGAGGGCCTCTCTTCTCCCCGCCCCCCCAGGTACCCTGTTCCCATCCCCACCTGCCCTCCCTTGCAATTGGCTAGTTCTGTGGATTCATCTGGTCTCGGTGAAGGTGAGGACAAGAAATGCTTGCAGGACTGCGGCAGCGGGTGCCACCTGGGTAGAAAAGATTACTCAGAGCCAGGTGGGCAGCTTTGCAGATTCCTGTGAAGGAACCCCTGCAGAAATCTATCAGTCTTTCCCTCCAAACTGGCTCTTGATGGAGGGGCAGTGGGAGGGTAGGGACGAAGCTCCCGGGACTGGTAGGAGCTTCACTCCCTCTGGGAACCAAATTCCTCCTCAGGTGTCCAAAAGCCCAAGCAGGACACAGCTGCCCGGTCCTGCCCCCTTGCAGGGGGTGAACAAGGACCACAGCTAAGCAGGTGGCTGCCACGTTCTGCAGGTGCCAGGCTAACTCGCAGGCATCGTTTAGATGTCTTTAAGTCCTGCAGTAGTTTAACTGCACTGTATACCTTTGGAGTCTTCCAGAATGGTGTGCAAGTACACACTTCTGAAGGGGGGTGGCGTGGGATTGTTAACCCCTTACTGTCAGTGTACAAGATATGATGTTCATTCAGCCCTGGCTGCTGCTGCTTGGGATTACCTGGAATGGTTTTCAAAATTAGTAGGTGAAAAAAATCCTGTTGCCAGGAGCCTGTGTTATTTAAATCAGAAACTCTAGCGGGGTGAGGGGGTTGGGCACAGAGCACCTTTTCCTTGAAAAGTAATCCAGGAGATGCTTGTGTTTGTGCAATCACTGTTAAGGAAAAGAAGTGGTGCTGGCTGAGCGGAGTGCTGGATCCCAGGTATTGGACTAGGGGTGTGTGCGCTCTCAGTGCTCAGGGGCCAGGTGCTGTTTTAATTCCCATTTACCTGTGGCAAAAACAGTCATGGCTTAGGCATCGGGCACCATGTTGCCCAAGGTCATAGAGCTAGATGATTTAGTGTCTAGTCTCCTGGTTTCAGTTAGGCCAGAGGGCAGATGATTTTAAATCAAGTAAGCATGGGAAGATGGGGTGGAGGAGGTCTTAAAAACATAGGTACCTGTGCCCCAGCCAGCCAGCCACAGAGATCCTGAATCAGCAGGTTTGGCTGGCTCCCCAGAAACCAGCTTTTCACCACCTGCCTGGATGGCCCTGAGAAGTGTGGTCCACATTTGGGGACACACTCGGTGAAAAGGGGAGGGGCCAGTGTGACCCTCCCCTGTGTGCTCTGTGGCTGGTCTTTCTCCCCTTTTGTGACCTGGCTGTGGTGCTGGGGCTGCCCCAGGTAACCTTCAAGGGCATCCTGTGTTCCCTCTGCAGTTAGTCATTAGTGGCAATGGGTTCATTATTTTTGGCTGAAGGTGCTAAGGGTTGCATATGTGGCATCCGGGGACCTGCCCCAGGACAAGGTAGCCTCCAAGTGAAGGGAGGCTTTGCTTAATTTTTCTCTGCAGCACCTGTGAGAGACCCCAAGCCAGGATTGTTTGTCCACTTGTCTGAAGGTACAGAAAACACAAAGTGTGTCACTCTCTCCCCATTATGACTTTGGTACCTGGTAACGAGTGTAAACTTGTGGCCTCCAAAATGAGTTAGCGGGCTCAGAGAGCTGAATGTGTCCCATGGGCTGACTGGGAGAGGTAAAGCAATTCCAGGCCTGTGGCCACCAGGAGGCTTGTGTAAGAGCTGCAGTAAGCCCTTGGAGCCTCAGCAGCAGCAGCCGCCACCAAAGACTGTCTTTTTAAACAGCTCCTCCCCTTCTTTCGTTCCTTATTTCAGAGGCAGAGAGCTCCCATCTGATAGTTTATTCCCTAAAAGCCTGTAATGATTGGGGCTGGTCTGGACCAAAGCCAGATCTGGAATTCAGTCCAGGTGTCCCATATGTGTGGCAGGGACCCAGTTTCTTGAGCCATCACCTGCTGCCTCCTGGGGTCTCTTTAGCAGGAGGCTGGCATCTGGAGTCAGGGCTAGGAGCTAGGTGCGGAAGGCAGGTGCACTGATGTGGGATGGACCATCTTAGCTCTTAGTTTGATGCCTTCCCAGCCATTACTGCTTCTGGGAAGCAGTGACAAACTGGTAGCCAGTGGTGGTTACCAAGCCGTGCAGACATGTTTCGTTTCATCTTTAAGGTGTTTCTGCTCGTGCATTTTTGAAGTTCCCTCTTCTTTTTGTTAATGGCAAGTTTGGGAGAAGAGCCAAGTGGCCTCCTGTGTGTCCACCTCCAGGTTTCTCGAGTTCAGTGCTGTTGATGTTTGGGGCAGGAGGATCCTTGGTCATGGGGTTGTCCTGGGTATGACTGGGTGGTTGGCAGCAGCCCTGGCATCTACCCACTAGATGCCAGTAGCACATGCCTGACACAGTTGTGATGGTGAAAAATAGCTCCAGGCATTGCCAGATGTCGTTGGAAAGCGAAACCTCCTCTGAGAGCTGTGGGTCCAGAGTAAGAGTGATGGGGAGTTTGTCCTGCTGGCTTTATTATTTTCTCCTTTCCTCCTGACTCTCTCCTTGTTCCTTCTCTCCTTATGCTTCTTCTGTGTTTTGATTTTTTTTTTTTGCCCAAACATTTGAGGTGCTATTAAGTCCCCAGTGCTTCATCACAGGTTTCCTAAAAATATTGTCCCACATAACACAATTCCTTCTTTATGCTGAAGACAAGCAAATACTCAAATTCTGTAAGATCATTGAATAGGCAGTCGTGTCACCAGTATGTTGAAGAGCTTGGTTTTTCAACTCAGGATCTGGCCAAGGCCCATTGTATTTGGCTGTGAGGTCCCTTAACTCTATTATACGTGGTATTTTAAAACCAAGCCACAATCAATTGTCAACATTTAAAAACTGGGAGATAACACATAGAAAACCCAATTCCTGATTTCTCCTGAGGATGTGGTAGTCTGGTAACACCGTTCACAGGGAACTGCTGGTTGTGCCGTGCAGTGGGTAGCCGCTCCCACTGAGGGAGATTCTGGGTTCCTCTCTGTCACCACTCCACCCTGTCAGTTCACTCAGATATGCTCCTCACAGCCCCTGGAGAGCTGGCCAGACAGGTCTGAACAGCACGGACTCCAATCAGATGACCCCAGATTTTGATTCCGTCTCAGCCGCTTAATTGCTGTGTGGCCCGGGGGAGGTTGCTTGACCTGTCTAAGTCTCCAGTTCTTGCTTGTAGGTTGAACATTCACCGAAACTAGGCTTGGAGAGCAGGAAGCATAGGTCCTGACTCAAGGTCATTGCTTGGCAGCTTTGACCCTGTAACATCATTCTTATGAAACCTTTCTGGCCTAGTATCTCTGAGGGATGCTGTTGTCAGTCATTCTGGGTTCTGCTGTGTTTATGTGTGCACTGGCCAAGACTCCTCCCCTCTCTGGTTTTGAGTTTTAATCCATGTTGGAGGATCTGGAAGAGGGGAAGTCTGTGCGACTCCATCAATGTGTTGCCAACTGTTGGGAAACCTTGCTGGCTTTGTAGTATCTCTGTAGACTTTATGTGTAAATCCCCATTTAATTTCATGCCCTTCCCTTGTGAGGTAGGTGCTATGCTAACCTGCCATTTACAGAAG